ATTTTGCTACATGTCTTTGGTAAAAAAAAAATTCACTAACTGCATATTAAATGGTTTGTGTGAAAGTGATAGCGTCTACAAACTATGGTACAGATCAGGGGTCTCCAAACTTTCCAGACAAATGGCCAGTTTTAAAATACCAGGGCAGTACAAACATCCCCAAATGACCCCTTTTCAGAAAGTAGACATCCTAAGCTATCTCCTGAGAGGCATGTTAAGTCCATGGAAGATATTTTTTTTTTTCCGCAAAGTTTTTGGAAAATGACAATTTTTTCTTTACACAAAGTTATCACTTAAATGATATATTGCTCACACATGCCATGGGTATATGTGGAATTACACTCCAAAATACATTCTGCTACTTCTACCGAGTACTGGTTGAAAAAAACACTCAAAGTCCAGTGATGTACCTGTATGTCGCTGGTCCTTGTTGGGTATATATGCTATGTTCTTTTTTTTTATGCAGCCTGTGGGCTGAATGAAAAAAAGAGAAGAAATCTCTGCCAGATAAAGTATGTGGTATGCCCACCGTTAGAATAAACCGCCCTGCAGCCATCCATTTCTTATGGTGGGCACACATGAAATGTTCCTTATTTTGTTGTTCAGCCCATGAGCTGAAAAATCAAGGGGAGTAGTTAAATTTGTTGTTTCCACCTGAATTCTGGGTTGGGCAGTGAATGGGGGAAGTACTGGTGCTGCAGAATTTGTGGGCTGTCAATCTGGATTTGCAAACATATCCGGAAGGACACTATGGGCTCTATGGGCCTGTGTGCGAATTCTTGGTGGTTGCGGGACAATACTTGTGCTCGCCACCGCACCGGCTTGTACTGCACTTATGGGACTCACCATGTCACAAAGTGATACTGCAGTGCTGGTATGTATAAGACCAGGGTATACTAGGCCGCTGGTGCTCAACAGTTCACCAATAGGTAGAGCGGCACTAATACTGGCACTCTGCTGCATATCAGAATCATCATGCAATTGTACCACCTCAGCAACCTGGGATCGGGGTCAGGAACATCTGACCTCAGCAGGGACCTCTACTCCATTGTCTGAGCTATCAGCCAGGGTGCCACTGCTGTCTACAGGTTTGTATTTTAAGCCTGATTCTGTCAGTGAGGCTTCCCCTTCGCTCTCACTTGAAATGCTCAGAATCCTGTAGGCCTCTTCATTAAAGTACCTTTCACTGGACATTTTGGCCACTAAAGTTATAGGTACCTAGTGTGGGGAAAAAGAGCACCTGGCTGTCAGGGACTGTTTGAACCGCTACAAAAAAAAGTTATCTGCAAATGCTATCAGGCCTGATTCTGCGAGCACTGTGGTTTTGTGTGCAATGTATCAAGTGATAGTGATCTACTGACACTGCACTTGCTGGGGGAGAAGGGAGGGGGGCGATTAAGCATAGGGGCTAAACGCAGGTGCTGGCAGGTGCCGGGTCTGATCCCACTAATGCTGCATTTTTGGGGCCACTACTTTTGTGAACGCTGGTATAGTGCTGATCTGATCAAAGATATTGATCCATTCAGACACTATACTTGCAATGGAGGTTTATTGTATATGTGAGTAGATTCCTGGCAATCAAGGGGTTAAATGTGATGACTCATGTAGTGGCAGGCAATCTGACGCTATCTGGGAGGGATGCTATATCAGTAAAAAAAATCTGTACACTGTACTAATGACACTGGTTACAGGGCAGTGAAGGGGTTTAATCTTTTAAATGTTTCTCAGGAGGAGGAGCCATGGCTGAGTGCAAGATTTTTTTGAACAATGTTAAGAGTAAAGCTGCCCTAAGTCTGTCATCAACATACAATGCAAGAAGCCTAGCCTCTAAAACATTAACCCTTAGGACAAATGGCATTCAACTCTAGTTACAATTGATAATGAAGATCTTCCTGCACAGACAGGCAAAAAGGTGCTCAGACCCCTCATAAACAAAAAACACTACATAGCATTTTTCCTTGCTAGAGAGTCCAGAATAGAGCACCAAAGTCAAAAAAACCTGCAATTAAGCATTTAAGTCTGGTTGTCCTGGTGTACAGTCATCTGTAACACTAGAGAAGCAGTTGAAACAGATAATGCCCAGGATGTTAGGCATTTATAGCAATCTTCTTTGCCCATTTCTTGACTCAGGTGTTTTACCAATTTTTTTTTTGTAGATCTAACTGTCCACTGTACTCTGTTCCTACCCAAAAGACCTGATTACAGCAGTGTAAAATTGTATCAGCAGATCTTGAAACTCTGTAGTTAAGAAGGCAGTTTCTGTGATATGTGTGACACAGAAGTGTCTACTTGTAGGCAGGTTGAAAATGGCCGTAGTTAGGTGCCCAGGCTGGGTTGGGAAAGCGTTACTTTCACTGCTCCCGCTGCACAGGCTTTTGGGGCTTCAGACTTTCTTGTTGTGATATAAATTGGGAGAGAGCTGAGGTCTTGGGGTTTTTGCCTTGGCCAGAGAAAGAGAGCGTTACATTGCCTGTGCGCATTCGGGTGTGCTGCTGCTGTTCTCACATACAGATGAGGACTACTAGTACCAAGGATCCTGGGATGCCACCAGCCATGGACTATGCCGCCAACTGTGGTTCATACTACACTAAAAAGGTATGCCTCGGTGGCCCACAGTTTGTGAGACTTAGGGAAAGAATTGTTGCACTTTTATCATGTTTGCACTAAAGTAATCAGTAAAAACTGTTAAACTTTGTCATGGAGCCTGATCTGAAGTTATTCAAAGGGCTGCAAATTGGGACAGGTGTATACAAAAGAATCTAGGCCTGTGAAATCACTAGAGCGGTATGATGATTCTAATGTGTCAAGTCAGTAAGAAGACAAAGTCGTTGCCAAGGTAATGTGGCAATATGCAAGGCACTAAGCAACCTATCAAAGTGTGATACCTGGGTAGGTTGAGGTGTCCTTCAGTAGCAAGAGAGTCACTATTTGGGCTCCCTCCCCAGCAGTCCATCTCCTATAGCAACTGGGAGCAGACCAGTGGTATGGAGGTCCTCAGCCTAACTGTATGGTACGGAAAAGGAAGAGTTAACTTAGGTCACGCATGAGATCTGCCCTTTTTTTACTGGCAAGATCTCATTTTGTTACTGGGAGTCAGGTAAAAGAGGTACACTGTGACCAAACCGCAGCGCAAAAAAATATAAACATAAAATAAGCATATATAATCAATAATAAAAAAATTATAATAAAAGTCAAAAGTCCCAAATAAATAATGTGCTCCAATCAGAAAAAAGGTGCTTGAAAAAATATTTTCCAACATGCCCAAACCATCCGTGATTTCCAATCCAACCTGTACTCACCAGATGAAGTGGATTCTTCGCTGATAAGGCTTAAGAGTCAAACAGCCTTATCAGCTAAGAGTCCACTTCATCTGGTGAGTGCGGGTTGGATTGGAAATCACGGATTGGTTTGTGCAAGTTGGAAAATATTTTTTCAAGCACCTTTTTTCTGATTGGAGCACATTATATATTTGGGACTTTTATTATAATTTTGTATTATTTATTATATATGTTTATTTTATGTTTATATTTTTTTTTGCGCTGCGGTTTGGTCACATTTTATTGATGTTTCTTTCATCTTTGACCAGCAGCATTTTTTATTAAGGTTTCAATTTCTTTTGGTGCAGATTTTTAACAGAGGTACACTGGCTGGTGGAGGTGGTGTGGCTCCACCAGCCACTCCGAATGCAACACATAATAGTCACTGTATGTAGAGCTATGGGATAATACTTTATCAGGAATTCTGCTTCATTCTACATGCAGGGTTGCTCATCTCTAAGTTGGGAGACTGGCTTAATGTTAGTTTGTCCACATGATCACAGTTCCCACCTGGTTCTGGTGAGCACACTTTTGGCAAAGGTACCCCTAGTACAAGGGTGTGGTATGCCCTGCCCACAACATGGCAAAGTCGGTAAAGCACAACCACCCTGAATACTCACATAGTGAACATGTCACAGGATTCAAGGAAGTAATTGTGTGGGGATCTTCAAAAAGTAAGTTTACAAATGTCCCGATCATTCAGTTTAGTAGAAGTAGGCTAGAAATAATTGAAATTCAATGTAGAAATGAATATATGATTTCACAGTTTGACCATAGATACAGTATATAGTGTCATTAAACTCAGACTGTGAAAAACTGTCATTACTATATTTAACAGAGTATGCATACTCACAAAGCCACTAAAGCCTTCATTTTTGTGTAGAGTGAAATATACCTGGTCAATCCTGCCTTCACCTGTCCCTCCCATCTTCTCTGTATCCCCATTGCAACCTATGATTGTATAGACCAGTTAGTGTTCTCTGTTGAGCATGCTCATATTTCAGTTCCCTTGTAAGTTTTTCATTTCCTTTTTCTTATCTGGGCAGCTCACTTGACTATAGAGTCACATATGTGGGCATATACTCTGGATAAATAGCAATCCCCTCCCTCTCTATTGCAAAACACTATGGGGACAGAATGTAGTATACTGGTTGATTACATTCACTAAGAAACTCACAAAAATGCTTAGTTTTAATATATATAAATATATCAGTCCTAAATATATCAAATGAAATTGCTATTTATCTGTAGAGTAAAAAAAAAAACCTTGGAAGCAGATGCTGGCTGAACGAAGTGAAAGCTGGTGTCAATCATCTTTGACTCCGTCTACACCATGTTAAGGCACAAAAAAATATGCATTTGATATTCAATAAAGATTTATAGAGAGCTATAAAACAGTTTTTGGTATTTATACTTTAACCGCTTTCCAGCCACCCTATACCAGAAATTCTGCTACAGGGTGGCAGGGGTGCGCAAAATCATGTATATATACGGGATTTTGCATTTCTGGGTAGGGGGCGTGCGCAAAATCATGTATATATACGTGATTTTGCATTTCTGGGTAGGGGGCGTGCACACCCTACCTGGAAATGCAAAATCACGTATATATTCACGTGATTTTGCGCACCCCTGCCACCCTGTAGCAGTATTTCTGCTACAGGGTGGTGGGAAAGTAGGCTCACCTGTTGATCACTGGTCCCGGCCGGTGATTTCCTGCTGACACCCGGCGATTGCCATGTATCACTGACTGGGGAAAGACCTATCTGTAAACAATACAGATTTCTCCCGTCAGCTTCTGCACATTGCTTTGTATTGCTTTGCATAGCAGAGCAATACAAAGCAATGTGCTTACACAGTAAAGCACACACACAGCACACAGTAAAACAGTACACAGTTAACCTTTTGATCGCCCCACATGTTAACCCCTTCCTGCCCAGTGTCATTAGTTCAGTGTCAGTGCTTTTTATTAGCACTGATCACTGTATTAGTGTCACTGGGGATGTCAGTGACAGTTAGTCAGTTTCACCCCCAGTGTAAGTCCCTGATCGCCACAATTACTAGTATTAAAAAATAAATAAAACATTCCAGTATCTATACTGCCATTTGTAGGCGCAATCACTTTCACGTAAACCAATTAATTTACACGTATTGGGATTTTTTCTTTAGCAAAGACATGAAGCAGAATACATTTTGGCCTAAATCTATGATGAATTTTAATTTTTTTATCTTTTTTTACTGGACAGGTTTAATAGCAAAAAGTAAACAATATTGTTTTTTCTTAAAATTGTTGGTCTTTTTTTTATAGCACAAAAAAAAACGCAGAGGCGATCAAATACCACCAAAAGAAAGCTCTATTTGTGGGAAAGAAAGGACACATTTCATTTGGGTGCAGTGTTGCATGACCACGCAATTGTCAGTTAAAGTAACGCAGTGCGGTATCGCTAAAAATGGCCTGGTCAGGAAGGGAGGTAAATCCTCTGGAGGGCAAGGGGTTAATTTGAATTGCTCTTCTGAACCTGTTTTTTATTTTTTGTGACTGGCACAGCACCAATTAGCTCTATGCAGGCAAACTCATACTGTAGTAATAGAAGCCCTCCCAAGGATCTTTCTCTGCAGATGCCAAAGGCCAGGGAAAGATCATGTGACCACATAACAATCCTGTAGGAATAAGGTACTTAGGATTTAAAAAAAAAAAAAAACAACATACGGCGGCATGATATATATGATTTATGTGGATGAATTATGGCAATTGGCACTTCTCTGTTTAGTACCACTTTAAGTTTCTAAATAAACACAACACATAAAGTCTATACCAAACATTTCATTATTTTATTCTATTAATGTTAATAATTTAGCTGTAATTATCTTTTAATCTGTCAAGATGAGTCACTGTATTAGACATGGCTTTCATTACATTTGGTGGTTACTATGGTTACATGAGCTAGATGTGGCGTTCTTTCTCTACAGGTTTTTGGCAGCTATACGTTGTTGATATTTTGCTTACATAATAGGTGAACTTTTCATTTTTAACAGTTCAGTAAACCTCTGTCAAACGATCTCCCTTCTCCACAAATGTTTTTCATTTTATTTTGTCTTTGAGCTAATTGTATGATCTTGATTACTAGGAATCAACAATGTCAAGTAAAATTGCTTAGCTCATTTGTTGCTTGCTTAGAGTTTTACTGCATGAAAACGCACAGTGAAATGAATGGAAGGGCAACAAGAGAGGTGTATGCATTTTGTACTAACAAGCATAAAGGTGTCTTGTGTCCTCATTTTCATATATCACCCTTAGCATTTGTTAGGGTAACTTTTGAACACAAAAGCAAATGCTGTGTGTAATCAGAATTATTTTACTTGGTTGGGTTGGAGAGGCTGTAGCTTTCTTCAGTGTCATCGTCTAAGCCCTAAATTAAATGGCGGGGTGAGTAGCCTGGCCCACCTGTTTTTGTTGATAGCTGAAACACCTAGTAAAATTTGATTATATCAGAATCAAAATACTTCCAGCAAATGAATTAAGTGATTTTAAAGGCTCATGTTTTAGCTTTTAAAAATAACAAACATGTTATATTTACCTGCTCTGTAAAATGACGTCAGATGTTGCTGACGAAACGCATTGATTGGGATTTCCGCAATACATCACTTCCGGCCAGTAGAGCGCAAACCAACGGTTTTGATTTCCATTTGTGAAATGCTACATGCTTGATTGTTCTATTATACTAATGTAAGTGTGATTTTAAGCAACTTTTTAATAAATTGGATAATACTACACTATGAGAGGTCCCTTATCTCTTTCCCTCTATGAGGGAGATCTATACAGAGTCTTAAAGACATAGGGATATCGCCAACATATAATGAGATCCAATTGTCCACATGCATGGGGGATTATCGGATGATTAGGAATCCTACATCCATTGAGATATCACAAGCGTATTTGACCTTCTGTGAAAAAAGATGTCATATATTTCTGGTGAGTGCAGTGTGATTTCTTTTGGGAGGAGAAAAAGAGCACTATTTTCCTGGGTGTCATTTTTCCGCACAGTCTGAATATGAACATTTGGCACTGAGCACTTTGAATATGAATATCAATTAGGAATTTTTTTGTTTAATATACTGTAAAGTGTTTATTGATTTTGTATGAATTCATTGCAAAATATTTTCTTGCACATAGTCTTTTTTATTTATTTATGTTGCAGTAGAGCCCTTTTATTTATCATCACATACACTTTTTTATGTATTGTATAGAGAGTGCAGTCTATATGATATGCTTTTAGTATCACTTTAACCACTTGCCGTCTGGCCACAATAATTAAAATGCGGGCAGATGGCATGAAAAGGCTGGATCTTGCAAATGTATGTTATCCAGCCTGCTCTGGTTTAGGCCCCTCCTGTGACAGCTGTGTCCACCCAGATCACTGTTACCAGTAACCAGGTATCATGTGATCACTATGATTGGTCATAGCAATCATATGATAACAGTGTAAACAACCTGTCATGAATGTCTTTCCATACCTGAACAGCTTGCTTAAAGTTGTGATCTGTGATTGGCCCACAGCAATCACATGGTACCTGGCTACCTGTACCATATGATTAGCTGTAGCCAATCACAGATCACATCCATAAAGCAAGCTGTTCATAAAAGGGAAACCTATTCATGACAGCTAAAACTAATGCTTATATAGTGGTCTTCACTGTGTAAGCAATAACAGTGTAAAAAAAAAAAATCCCTGATCACCCCACTCCCCCCCCCCCCGAGTGTTAAAGTGTCATTGTGGTGACATTGAACTACTTTAATGACAGGATGCGAAAGAAATAGTAAACACAATTATTAAAAATTTATTAAAAAATTATTATTTATTTGATTTTGTTTTACATACTGTCACCAGTCAGTATCCCTGATCACTACCACAACAGTCATATGATGATACTATACTGCACTGGTGACAGTATGTAAAAAAAAAAAGTGAAAAAAAACGAATTTGGGTCAATTTCTTAATTTTCAAAAAAATTGGGACAAAAAAATACAACTTCAAAAAACTTGTCATGCCTCTTACTAAATACATCAGACTGTATGCTTTCCAAAAATGGGTCATTTGGGAGGTATTTGTACTGTCCTGGCATTTTAGGGTCTCAAGAAACAAGATAGGCCATCAGTACATCAGGACTGATCAATATTCAAATATATATCGCATAGACGCTATAATTTCACACAAACCAACTAATAAACACTTATTGGGATTTCTTTTTTTTACCAAAGACATATAGCAAAATACATTTTGGAAGAAATGTGATTTTTTTTTATTGGATATGTTTTACAACAGAAGGTAGAAAATATAATATTTTTTTCCAAATTTTTGTTTTTTTGTTTTTTGTTTTTCCATTTATATAATAAAAAATAAAAAACACCAGTGGTGATCAAATACCACCAAAAGAAAGCTCTATTTGTGTGGAAAAAAAAATATTTTACTTACATACAGTGTTGCATGACTGCACAATATCTTGTTAAAGTAGCAAAGTGCTGAATAGCAAAAATGCCCTTGTCATGAAGGGGGAAAACCTTTTGGAGGTCAAGTGAACATTTTTTTCCATACTGAATATATTGCCATAATTTTTGATTCTAGTTCTCTAAGCCCAATGTGTGTTTTAGGGTCATAACTTTTATCAGGTTTATAAGGCAGTACTCAGCACAGCAGCATGCCTCTGAATTAGTCAAATGAAGCCATTGATTATTCAATCCACGTATAAAGAAATCTTCTCTATCTTCCCATGAGAGGGGCACATGAGGACAAAGTTGAGAGACACAGATCTAGGCCACTGTGCCAGACATTTTAAAGAAAGAACCCCCTACCCTCTCAATAAACAGTTTTTTTTTCTTTTCAGCACATTTTGTGCTTCTTTGCACTAGCCTGTTGACAGTAACTAAAGACAGAATTGTTCAGTATCTATCAGTACAGTAAAAAAATTTGCCTTAATAGATAATAGACTATCGTTTAAATCACAAAATAATGAAAATATAAAATGTTATTTATGCAGCTTATATATTTTATGCACTGAAAACACCTTTAATTCAGTTCTGTTCAACTGTCTACAAACCATAAGTGATACTGTGGGTGGCCACAGGGATTATTGATTACATTGGCATTGTAACAAAACCACATTGCTTCTTGCCAAATGAACTCACATTGCGTGTGCATGTGTAATGTCATACAAAATGGCAATTAGCCTTTAGGGCTCCATGGGGACTGTGTATACTAAAGGCCTCTATACTGCTAATATCTGCAAGCATCAGTAAACCTTACATCTGTATAGCCCGAAAACACACCATGATCTAGATGTGAACAAAAAAGACATCCTGCAGTGTACTGACAGATATATTAGAGCATCTAGAAGTAGATGAGATGATAGATAAGCTCAAGAAAACCATGTTGCAGCAACAGCAGTAGGTAAGGCCTCTAGAGAACACACATGACAGCTGGTCACTCCATTACTGGAAACATTGTGCAGAAGCCATCCACTATTTGCACTCCAAGAGATAAAACCAGGCATAGCTAGCATACGTGAACACATTGACTCCCCAGAGCATGAATTAGTGGCATTACATAAGGCCAGACATTAATTAAGGATGAACAACTGCAGAAATGAAACATACCCACACACTGCAAAATAACCTAAAAAATATAGAATACAATCACATATATTAATTAGTAGTTGCCAGGAAGGATTTCATACTCAGAACCTAAGAGTTACATTCTGAAACTATACAAAACCATCCTTTTGAGCACATTAATCCTTCAAGATATTAATAAGGCAACAAAGAATCAATCAACACTCAAGGGTATTATACTGAATTTTTAACATATTAAAAGCATGGGTGCAGTCCCCACAAAAACAGACCCGTAAATTTCTTTAAAAGAAATGTTATTTTCAAACGAATAAATACAGACACGACCAGGAAGAGAGCCTCAAGAAGGTGCTTCCAGAGAATAAAGAAGTGGCGTACAATAAACAATCTACAAATCTGGTCCAAAGAGACCGAGGACTTGCGTATAAAAG